CTCTGAAAAGACCCCACACGGCAACTGGCTGCAGAGCTCCTTCCAGTTGTAGCAAGGCGCCCCGAGACGGACTGTGGAGAAGCAGGTCGGCCAGGAGAGGCTGACGCACCAGGGTCCTCAAGGCCAGAGGAGCCTCAGCTGGGCTTCCCAGACCATAGGGAAGGCCAGTGCTGAGCGGGCCAAGAGTGGCATGGCTGTCGGGGAGAAGCCTTCTGCCCCAGCAAGGCCCAGGTCCCACTTCAGGGAACACTCGTGTCTGCACACCCTACACATAGTCCCAGTTCCCGTCACACTGGGGCTGTGCTCAGCTGGATGCATCTTAAGATTTAAACTCAGATCAAAGACACACACACACACACACACACACACATACACGGTGCAGGGCTCCATCCCATGGTGGCAGGTTGGGGCCGGCAGCAGGCCACACAGCCCCTTCAGGGGGTACCCCCGAGACCCTCTACCACAAGGTGAGGCCAGCGCGTCCCTCACTATGGCTTGGCACTGAATGAGGAAGACACTCCAAGACTGAAACCAGAGGAAATCTCGCCAAGTGTGCCTATGGCACCGGAGACACCGCACTGCTGGCCCGAAGGCAAGCCGGCATGTCGCTGGTTAGTCCCCCAGCGCAGCTCCCTCCCACGGAGCCACTGGGGCAGCCCTACCTTGAGGAGGGAGGAGAAAACGGGGCCATGGAGACAATGCTCTCTTCGTGGCTAGAGGCTGGAGGCAGCGTGGACAGACATTTCTATAAGAAAGCCAGTCAGGAGGAATTCACTTCAGTGCATGAATGTTGCCAACAAAATGCACAGACCCCTCGGGCTAACACTTAAAACACAGATAAGACAGTTAAGAACTGAGTCACTCAACTAACACCTCCTGACATTAATTTCACTGCACGTGATGGATTTGGTATTAAAATCAGACAGACACATGAAATGGCCACGCACACATTTGGTTTCTGAATCCCTGTTCGGGGCCAAACTGGCCCTGGCTGTCCAGGCGGCCTCTGCGTGGGCCACACCTGAGGCGGGAGGCACGGTCCTCGGGCAGGGACACAGCCACGACCGGCCCCGCGGGCCCAGGGACACGGGAAGAGGGACAGTCGGCTCCCTGGAAAGGGGCGGGGGCTGGCAATCCCTGAAGTGCCCTCCTTTAAACATACGGGCTTAGAAACGCCTTCTGGGTGTGGAGCACAGAGCACAGCCGGAAGGTCCAACTCCCTCCTAGCAATTACACGCAGCGGGTGGGGAGGAGCCTGCACGCCACACCCGTGTCTACTCAGCAGCCCCGTGGAAGGTGTCCGTTTGGCATCCGTGTAGCAGCATCTCGGGCCAACAAGAGCGGACGGGGAGGCGGGTACCGGGCTCTAAGCTGGGCCGGGAGGCGGCCTGGCCGCCCGAGATGCCAGGCTGTGGGAACGCCGGGATGAAGTCACCTTGCCTCTTGCCAATGATAAACCATGGGTTTAAAATTCATTAACATTCATTTTGGTGATAAAAATTCCTTACGAGTGGGAGCAAAATCACATTCCAAGCACATGTTAAACCTTTCTGAGGGAAAGGGACACAGTTAAACATTAACTTAGAACAACACTGAGCTGAGAGGCGGCTGCAGGTCCCCGTGCAAGCTCCACCCTGCAACGTCCCAGACTTGGCAGGTCTGCGGCAACACGGTTTTCTTCATTTGTCCTTCGAGTTCGACAGCGACACCCACTGGGGCGCAGAGGAAGGGTGGGCCACGGAAGGCCAATGAGGGGCAAGTCCATCCTATTGGGGTCACATCATGGGGTCAAAGCAGAGTTCAGGCAGGACAACTTAAAACTCTGCAAAAGACACTCTAAAAACATGATCTCTTGAAAAAAATAAATCCCAACAATTTTCAACTTCATGCAAATCAAAGGAGGAGGAGAGTGAATAACAAAAGGTACAGCTGAAAAAATAAACATGATTCTATTTGGGTGGAAGTTCATTTCCAAAATCTCAAACGTCAAACCCCAGCCCTCGTTTCCACTCCTGCCCTCACCGACCTCCTCTGCTGCTTCCAGGAAGGGGACAAAGTCTTTGGTCTCAGGATGTTGCAGGACGCAGCATGGCACACAAGCTCACACTAACGGGATTCACTGTCAGACAGGCGAGGCACGTGGCCTGGCCCGGATTTGGGGGGAGGGGGCCTGGGGGCGCCCTAGATGGCGCCTTCGTTGTGTAGGCTGTGATTGGCCTTGGTGTGCGTCACACAGTTCTGTTCATTGAGCAGGTTGGCCGTCTCGTCTGGCAACCCGTCGTGCAGCTCCGTAAGAGTCAATTCAATTTTAGTGTTTTCACTGTCTGAAGACTGAGGAGTTTTGTCCATCCGGGATGCCATCAAGGCATTTTGGTATTGCTGTCTTGAGATCTGGGGCCAGAAGATGGTACAGAAAACAAACCAAGATAATGCTTAGTTTTAGGTTCTCTTGTCTGGACATCGTATTACACATCAAGTCCCCCAAAAGGCCCTTAGTTGTTTCTCTAGAAAGTCATCCTTGAGTACAAACTGAGCCAATTTTTAATGAGAAAATTTATTTAGAAAGTCACAGAGGTGGTAGAAGTGAGGAGGTGAGCTGTAGAAGGAATGGGCTCATTACAGAGGCAAAAGAGGGTCCTTGGAGCTTAGGAGAGAGGACGGGGACGGCGAGGTTCCTGGGGAAGGGGAGGAGGGAAGGCGCAGGCGTGCTCCCAGGAGCCAAGCGGAGACACTTTTTAAAGTTCAAGTTGACTCTGGTAAGCAAGTCAGTTTTTACTGATTTAAGCCATTTCCAAATTTTATTTCAAAGTTTCCCAGAGATTAGAAAATGGAGCTAGGCTTCCATCAGCTAAAGCTGGCTTGTTCTCCGAGAGGCGTCTTTAGTTCAGACTAAGGAAAGGAGCCTGTCCCAGGGCAGAAGGTCAGTGGAGGGCTCTTCCCACTCCTTCCTGGCCAGTCTTCCGAGTCTCCGACCTCTGCCCTTTCAGGACCAAGCAAGTCTCTGGAGTCCGAGCCCATGGAGACCTGTGAAAGGTTGTTCTGTTTCTTAGAGCTGCAGCTCTCCTCCCCTCACACGGCCACATCTGATTTGGCAGCTCATTGGACAGAGCGCGCCAAGGACATACATGTTTCCCCACCTGAGTCCTGGACACAGTGGCTGGAGGCAGGGCACCACAGGGTGACAGGGACTCAGTGGAGGGGCTGGGGGGTCAAACGGCTGGCTGTGGATTTGACCTCGAACTTCCAGGTCCAGCCCAGCGGCGCGCTCTGCTCTTACCTTAACAAACTGGAGATCAGAAAGGGCGCGCACTGAGTAGTCGGGGATGTAGACTTGAAGGAATGAAGAGTTGAGCTGATTATTGCTGCTCCCCAGCGAAGGTGTGATTGCATCAATCCGGTCACTTCGACTGAGAGAGTCTGAGTGATTCAAGCCACACGGGCGAGGAGGGGACTTGTTTTCACCTGGAAATGGAGAAAAAACAACACACGCCCAACCACTGTTTAAGTGAGGTAGATATGAACAATAAAGGCAGCCTTGTGTTTTCCAGACAATAAAGAAGTAGTCATTAGTAGACAAGCTTAATCCACTTCTGCCTGACGCCTCAGCCACACAGCTCACCCCCCAGGCCTCCCACAGGAGCTCGCTGCTTCCCTCAGCGACGGGTTTCACGGGGATCAGCTGCGCAGCCTGTCCGAGTGCGGGACACAGTCCTCCCCAGGCTCTGCCAGACAGGCCCCACGGTGCACACCGTCAGAAGCACGGCGCCGGCTGCGAAACGCACAACCCAGGGGAGGCACGGCCCAAGCCAGAAGCACAAGCAAAGAGCTCTTGAGGATGTGCATGAATCAGTGTGTGTTCTAAAGGGATCATACCCTACCTCCCAGCCAAACCCATTGCCTTTGTCTCTGACTCCAATAAAACCCCCAGCAGGCAGCCCGAGGTGTCTCCACACCAGGAGACACCAAACCCCTAAGAGGTTTAAGTTACCTTAGGGCCTGTGTGACTCGTCACTGAGACAGACAGTACAGTAAGTCTGAGTGATGTTGCTCTTAAATGCAGGTTTCCCACTGCTTTTAACATACATTTCATTTAAAATAAGACCTGCCCCCTTGCCAGGCTTCTTTCATGTTTGCTTTTCCAACCTATTCCACAAATAGGAACCGGTGCCCACACATGACAGGTCCTGCAGTGCACCATGTCCTAGGGCTGGAGGGGACCAGTTCTCCCACCTGAAGGTTAGCTCCTCTTTGCAATGTGTCCTGACAGATGCTCCCACAGAGCTGGCCCTCAGCTGGTCCCACCCTTCAGCTATGGGAAGATCTACCACCGCGCCCATCAAAATCTGCCTCCCCAACTTCAGATGACAGCCCCCCCCCCTTCACTCTATGGAGCTTTTGTGCCCCTGCTACTTGAAATAGCCCTTAAAAGCTCAAAGACAGTATGTTCTCCTTAAATCTCTTCCCCACGTTAAGTACTTCAGCTCACGTTTTACCACCTGTCATCCCATCCTGACCACCATCTGAGATTTCATTCATGAATGTCCTTCCTATAATGACACCCAGAACAAAACATGGTAGCTACTCGAGGAACGTCAAATGAAGAGTTCACTTTCTGCTAAAATTTTCATGTCACCACTTTCCCCACAATTTCCATGTCATGAACCAATTGTCCATTTTTAGGTAAAAATTAAACTCATAGTAGCAGTTTTTCTTGTTGCTTCCACTTATCTTCTAAGAGAAAAAGGCAAATTAAAAATTTATCAGATGTTTTCTGTTTAGCAGAACGGAGCTTTGATCAGATGTCCCAGCATTGCAAAGCCTCCGATTCCTTACCTGTGAAAGGCAGACGATAACAGTGCCACCTCACGTGGCCTGATGAAGATGCAAATGAGATCATGGATGGAGTGCTCAGCATAGCATCTGACTCCGATTAAGCACCCGACAGATGAGCCTGGGTAACACTGTTGTGTTCTTTCCTGTTAGCTCCTCCCTCTCCACCACGCCTGCCCTCACCACCAAGCCTTTCCTTCTGGCGGTAACTTCACCAGCTGACAGACCCCCAGGTCTTTGAAACAAGAGATCCCACTGTATCCCTGAGTTTCAGTCCAAAATCACATCACCATTTCTACAGATACCTTCAAAATGGTGTTTCCTTCTGTGTGTGACAATTCAAAGGGCACTTTGCTTACTGACCAGACCCTGTGTGTTGGCAGGCAGATATCAGAGGCCTGGTGCAGAACCTCCGAGTCTCCTGTTATTTTGTCCTGAGGAGGATCACAGAGCCTTTTCTCTGGTCTTCCAGCATCTAGACTCGTAGGCAGCTTCCCCTCCACCCGTGCCTGGCCTCACAGCCACAGTCTGGAGAAGCAGGGCCAGCCTCCCCTCAACATGCAAGGACATGTATGTATGTTCACTGGAAGGAGAATACAGACTCTATATGGCCTCCCTCCAGTTCAGGTCATGTTTTGTTGCCGAATTTATGTGCCAAGATTTTAGGCAATTATGAAAACAACTTTCAACTTTAATTCCTCTTTATGTCTTCTCAGAATTGTTTTCTGCTTTTGTCTTGCCTTTTAAAATTCATCCTACCTAGGCATCCTCTCTCTTTGCTAGTAAGCTAGAAAGATACAATAAAGAGGCGTTCCCAGCCTCTTCCCTGGGAACCCCAGGCACCCGTAGAAGAGGCTGGAAATCACCGGTTTAATCCACCCATTTCTTAGGAGTCATATTATGGTCCTGCCAGCATCCCTGAGTCCTGGGCCTGCAAATGCAGTTTTCTGCTACTGGCTCAGATGGAGTGGGCACAGCTGAGAAATCTCTTAAGTTTTATGGGAAATGTAAAAAAGTAAAAGACATTTCCATGAGCTTCATCCAAAAGTCACTCCACTTCAGCTTCTGTGACATTTTAAATAGGTGGCAGATGCCAGCAAATAAAATGGGGAGGAAAAAAAAATCATGCATACATATGCATAGATACATACTAATGTGTATACATGTATGTGCACATCCACATGTATGTATAGTCTGCCAAGTGGTTTCATTCAAATAGCCTTATGAGCACGGCCAGTGTGGCTTGGTGGTTGAGCATCGACTCATGAACCAGGAGGTCACAGTTCGACTCCCAGTCAGGGCACATTCCAGGGTTGTGGGCTCGATCCTCAGTAGGAGGCATGCAGGAGGCAGCCGATCAATTATTCTCTCATTGATGTTTCTCTCTCTCCCTCTCTCTGAAATCAATATACATATTTAAAAAGCCTTATGAATTATATCTTACCCCCAAACACCCCAAACTTTTCAAAGCAAAGATCTGAGGGAACATTAGTTTCTAAGACAAGCATTGCCTCCTTTATCAAATATCAGCATTTTAGAGTTTTGCTGAAATTGGCTTATGAAACACAAATTTCATCAGTCAGATTTTAAAAATCTAAGCTGTATGGAACAAAATAAATACAGAAAAGTCGGACTATCGAATAGGGAAGCCCAGCAATTTTAATTAAAGAAAGATTAAGGCTTTGCCTTCGTTTTTAGCAGCTGGACATGTGAGCCAGGCACAGCCGACCCTCCTGCAGGGCAATCGCCAGCAGCTGGTTAGGAATGTGCACGGCACTAACTTCAAAACAAAGGGGGGGACAGGAGCAGGGCCGCCTGCCCAACGGAGGACAGGCTGCAGGAACCCGCTCGCGTGGACGCTGGGAGGACGGAGACAGGAATGCTGGGATTTACCAGGAACAGTCAGTCCCTCAGGCGCTGGGCTGTGTGTTCTGTGGAAGCGTCCTCGGGTTTTGTGGTCCTTGGGGCTTCTGCCTCCACACACATGACTTTGCTGAGGTCAGAGAAAGAACCAAAGCGGCTGCCGTGGCTGCTCTGCAAACCCCAGGTGGGCAGTGTGGGCGGACAGATCCCTCTTCCTTCCCGTGTTTCCTACCATTCATGTTCCCAATCCCCTGCCAGCATCCAAGCCCTTTCTGCACCTGTTGTGGGCGTCTATGTTCCTGGGGAGCTCATATGAAGGCACAGAAACATGAAGAGCTAGAGCTTACAGAAAAACCGAAGGTGGCTTTGGGGGGTGGGGGGCGCGGGGGCAGGGAGGCAATCAGAAGAATTATGAAAAGGAAACATGCAGAATTACCTGGAGAACCTGCTGCTAACAACTCTGTCCTGCTGACAACAAAGGTACGAGACAGGGACAAAGGAACTGAAAAATGGAGAAAAACAGGGTGAGACCATATCGAAAGGCAAGAAAGGAGACCTCTGTAATCAGGGGACAGGAGTGGGTACCAGTCCTACCAACATGAGCCAGTGGTTCCAGAACTGAAAAGGCCTGTGTGACGTCACAGACACAGAAACAGGACACACCGCTTTCCAGGAAGAGGGGCAGGGGCAGGGGGAGGCCGAAATCCTGGTCGCCATGCTTCTTTCTCACCTAGAAATCTCTAAGCCATATGAACACCCAATGGGGTATAGCTCAGAACGCGCTCTTCTAACGACTTAAGTCACAGCTAGCCACAGCCAGGAGCCTCAAGAGCAGGACCCGAGCCACCGTGCCAGCACCCCACGCTCACTCCCAGGACAGCCTACAACTCCCTATTCAATTCACTTACACCCTTCGTTAGTCTGACTGTAATTCTGACTTGACGCTTTGAATTGCTCTGGAATACTCTGAAATGTCCAAGTATTAGAGGCCAGTAAATAAAGAGCAACGTGCACAGACTTCCTGGGGAGGGCAGGACAGGCGTGCTCGTCACCGCCTACCCACAGGGAGCTGCAGCCACCTGACCGGAGTCCCGTCAGCACTGCGTGCTGGGCAGGAGTCTTATTTCCTGGGCAGGTTTGTTTTTTAAACTGAGGTAACTGGACATATAACTGGGCAGATCTTGATAACAGATCACTGTAGGATTTTTCTAGGCAATCAAAATTAATAAAAATATTATCTTGAGATTACTGTACTAATTGCATCTCTTGCACATACAAAATCCCAAATCCGAATGGTAAAGTCGAGTACAACACTGGGCTTTGTAATAAGAGGCTATTAACAAAATCCCCTTCCTTCCTGGCATTTCCAACGAGGCAGGCAGCCCCCAGTTGTCTATATGAAGGCCTGCTCTCAATTCCTCTTCTGAATGGGACTTAGCCTCACATGAACCCACGGTTCAGTATCAATAAAAATGTACAATTTTCTCTCCCAGCTTTCTTTTCAAAACTGCTTTGTGAATCTATTCTGCTCACGTGGGCTGATTTGAGGTTGGTTGCCAAAAAGCCGTCACAATGTCAACACCTGTCACACCAGTTCCCTCTTGTGCTTTAAAGGTTACGGAGCACGTGTGAGCATCACCACATCGATTCTTTCAACAGTCACACGAGGTAATCTTGTATCCTCTCAATAGTGAGGAAGCCAAGGGCCTTTCTCAGAGTCTGGCAGCTGAATATGATGGAACCTGGCTGTACCGCGGGTCTTCTCGGCCGGCGAAGAACCTCCCTGTCCTCACGAGCAGTGAGAACAGGTCACCTTCGCGCACGGCCAACACCGACTGATGCCGTGGGTTTGATGGGGCTACGTTCACACTGGGTGCTCGTCAGCATTGACAATGGGGCACTGGCCCCTGTGACTCAAACGCCTGCCCAGGGAGAGTGAGATGCCGCCTCTGGAGCAGGGGAGGCTTGGGGGTGTGAGAGGATTGACGCTGCCCTGGCTTCTAACCGTAACATCTCAGTGTCTGCGACATCGTGTGGCACAGCTGAGGACCAACATCACAAAAACACACTTGTCTGGAAGTAGCCCTCCCCTTTTGAGACTGTTTTTCAGAAGTAACAGTGGTTTTTAGGATGGGCTATTGCAAAAGTTTTCTAGGACAGCCTGTCATTTGATATTTTAGCCACAAGGTGGCACTACGGCACCTCTGTTTGCTTGCCTGCCCCATTCTACACACACACACACACACACACACACACACACACACAAAAAGCGCGCGCGCGCGTGCACAGGCAATGTCGATAGGGACCATTCAAGTCCCATCCCAGAGGTGAGCCAGGTACCCGTGTCCATGTTCCCACTAGGACAGGCTCCGCTTGCTGGCATCTTGTGCAGAGCACTTAGTTAATGGCCCATGGCACAGCCACCCAGAGCTGGCTGACTCCAGATAAGAGCTGGATATAGGCCATAAATATATGTTAACAACCTCATTCATCCGCAGGAAAATGCAAATTGAAAAACCTCCAGAGCAGTTACCATTGAGATGACGCAGCGATACCGCGGGTGCAGCCACGGGAACGTCCTCAGGACAGGAGTGATGCGAACGCTTCGGAAAACCACTAAAGCTGGAGAGACCCTCATACCTGTGAGCCCACAGTCCCACTCCGATGTACAGACCCGGGAGGGAGGCCCACACGTTCACCAAAAAGCAGCACAGGAGTGTCCATCACACAACCACAGCAGCCCCCAACAGGCGGCCACCCAACGCCCATCAGCAACGAGAAGAATAAACACAGCTGGGCGCTCGCACACAACGGAGCACTTCCAGCAACGAGAAGAAATGGCGTCAGCGCCTCTGACAATACAGGTGAGCGTGACGGGCAGCGCTGGGTTAAAGAAGCCAGACTCAGGAAATTCACCCCAAAAGGGCGTGTGGTGGTGGCGGAGGGTCCTGTGGGGCCAGGGATGTTCGGTCTCTGATCGGGCTGTTTGCACCGGCGTGTTCAGTTTGTGAACGTTCACATAAGTACATGTACTTATGATTTGTGCAGTTTTTTGTATACACAATACACTTCAATACAAAGGTCAGGAAGTAAATAAACGGCTAGCTGCAGGCAGGGAGAGGAAGGCGACCGTAGGAGGACGCTATTTCCCAAAGCACGGCTCTGCCCTCAGAGGCTGAAGGCAACTCACCTGGGGAGGCCGTGAGGGCCATGACGCCGTAATATGAAAAAGCACTGGCTTCAAACTTCATACCTTCTTTCCCAGCTTCTACTTCCACTTTCCCCTGTGAAGAGAGAAGGGGGCGTTTTCAGTCCAGCACATGAATCCACGTGCAAACCTGGGCAAGACTTGGTCCTTCCTTCGAGTCTGACTAAATCCCTTGCCCGCAATCCCAAGGCAGCAACGCCTCTGACCATCTTCCCCCTGAGGAGAGGGTTCCTTCTTCTCAAACGTGAAAACCAGATTTGGCTGGGGATGCAGAGGTGGCAGTAAAAGAGTGATGTTTAACTTCTCTCGTCCACTTAATATTTTCCCAGCATCCTTAGCTTGTGGATTCCTCAGGAGCCCTCCCGGTCATGAGAAGACGATGCTCTTGCTCCGTCGGGAAGGCAAACCCTGAGAAGATGCTCAGGGATGGTGGCCAAGCTGTCCTGTAGGAGCCCAAGTTGGAGCAGAGTCAGGGTCAAGGGTCAGCATGGTTTGTGGCCATGGGACAGAGAGGACTAAACGGGTTCGCAGGGGCGCCCCCTCACTAGCATGGTCCCCTGACCAACTGCTCAGACGTCCTGCAGGCCAGTCCCCTGTCATCCTGACTCCCCAGAGGCACGCACCACCTGGCACACGCTCCTTGCAGCCCCAGAAGCACCTTAAGGAAGTCTCCTCCCTCAGGACAGGACCTCCCCCAAGGTTTTCCCTTTTCTTCCCTTTCTCCAACTGGTCTCCATCTCCTTCCCTCTTACCAGTTCCTGGGACAGACCTCCCTACCCGTCCCTATGGCATTAGGGTCCACCAGAATCCCTTCGCGGGAGATGCTCAATATGCGCTTTCTGGGCGACTGCAATACCCTAGTGACTGAGCTGCACGTGCGGATTTCCAAGCCACGGCTCAGAGCGGCCCTGACTGCCTCTGTGAGAGGGGACCTTCACGGTGGGCAAACAAAAAGGTACCGTTTATTGAAGAGGAACTGTGCTAGCCAGTCACAGTGCGTTGATTAATTCACTTAGTGCTCCCAACTCGGAAGCAGACACAATGACCCGCCTCTTATAAGTCAGGAGTGGGGGCTCAGAAAGATTAAGTAACCGAAGAGCAAGCTCTTCACCAAGATGCAACCTATGCCACCCACCAAGGCAAACTCTTTTATTCAGATCACTCCCTGTTATTCTAGACTAAATTCCCGATTATGGGAGACCTTTCTCAAATCACTTCAGAAAACTACCTGTTGTCTCTCTTTTAGGTTCTCCTTCCCTCAATGGCTATGTTAGTTTTACCAACTCCACTAATTCTCTTGCCATAGAAATGAACGGATTATTAAAATCAACCTGCACGTAGGTGCCGAAAACCTGACCATCCCTGCAGGTCCCAGAGCAGATGCTGTGGAGTCCAGTAGGGAGGGGAGAGCACATGAAAATCAATGATGCAAAGCAGTACAGTTTTTACTGAGGGGAAAAAACCCAGTAAGAATATAAAGAATTCAGCCTGGCCAGTGTAGTTCAGTGGTTGAGTGTCGGCCTATGAACCTCCAGGAAGTCACGGTTCGATTCCTAGTCAAGGCACATGCCCGGCTAATGGGCTTGATCCCCAGTAGGGGGCATACAGGAGGCAGCCAATCAATGATTCTCATCATTGATATTTCTATTTCTCTCCCCCTCTCCCTTCCTCTCTGAAATAAAAACAGTTTTTTAAAAAATAAAGAATTCAGAGAAAGAAATTACTTCCCTGTTATTATATAAAGGCAATTTTATACAGGAAAGAAAAATCTGAGGGGGAGTAGGATTTGATTGAGCCAAGAGAAGGGAACAGCATGAAGGAAGGTCCAAGGTAGGTGACAGCAGACTGCCAGGCTCACTGGGTTTGCACAGGGAAGATGGGCAAGAAGGGTTTGGAAGAGCAGTTTGGAGGGCAGATTAGACACTGAGCTCCTTAGGTGATAAGCTAATGAGGTCAGGTTCTTGAACAGAGGAGTAGGTTTCAGGAAGATAAAGCCCAGACTTAACTAGAGTGGCAACCACAGGACTGGAAAAAGATGAGTGTGGATAAGGAATGGACATAATTTGGTGAAACCAACAGGGAGAAGAAGGGACTCGATAGTCACACAGAAGTTGGTCCTTTGTGAATGGAAACAGACACCTTGGGTGGAGGTGGCAAAGCTGGGAAGGGGTTGCCTCTGTGGTGGGGGCCAAAAGGGGAGGACACATTCCATTTAAGAATAAGGCCTTTTGAAGAGTCCACCAAAAAGACCGAAATGAAGACTGAAGGTCAGGAGAAAGGTCAGGCCCGGAGGTGGAGATCTGAGAGTGGATAATGAAAGTACTAGTAAGTGGAAAGGAAAGGACCAGACTGCGTGCAGCCCGTGACCAAGAGCAGGAGGAGAGATGGAAACCAACATGAGAGCAACGGACAAAACAGACAAAAAGTAGGACTAGACAGCTGTGTTGCCATAGAAACTAGGGGGAACCTCACAAGTAAAGGGAGGGTCAGAGTCACAGAGGCGGGAGATGCTGTGGCCTTCAGGAGTATCACCCTGAGGAAATCAGACCGTGGAGGGGCAGGGAGAGCGGGCGGGAGGGAGAGAGCACAGGCGCAGGTGAGGAGGGAGGGCCGCCAGGGCTCCACTGAAGGCGAGTTAGGGTCAGGGAATCCAGTGCACCAAACTGTCATTTAAACTCCTCCGCAAGTCCTTTTAATCCAGCATTTACACTATTTATAAAACCCCATGGCATCATCAGCTCAACGGTTCAGAAAACTCGCCACATTTGTATAAATATACACATGGCATAGGTATTCCAATGTAGGCACATATACATATGCCTTGTCAAAAATATCTTTATGTTAGAAGACTTACTTGTAAATGGACAGGGATTATAAAGTCCCTTTTCCATAAAATCTATTTTGAGACCCGTCAGCCAGATAATGGCTCTCTTCTATACCAACAGAGCATTACTGAATCACAAATGCATCAAGACTAACTATATAAAAATTGACAACTGAAAGCATCATAGTTTCTACTGTTACCACTGAAATCCACAATGTCAATCCTCAAAATTGTCCTAAATAATCATTTTTAATGTAATCCAAAGTTTCTCTAGGTTTAAGGAATACTAGTACTCACATCTAGCTTTATGAGAAACATGAATAATTATTCCCTCACTGCAGCCCCTCAGAATTTCGAGCTTGTCCATTTCCCATAAAAGAAAAACAATTTGAAGTTGAATAAAACTAAGGTTCGTAGAGGAATCGGGTTTGAATTAGAAAACCCTGCCAACAGATGTTTCCAAGAAAGACTGTATCAAAGTGGCATGTGACCAGTTAACCCATGGATTTTTCTACAGTTCCTCACTTCTGCTTCCAGATGCCACAATATTGTCCAAGCATGGGGCATGAAACAACACTTTCCCAAGTTTCTGGCACAGATATCTGATAAGAGTTCCTTTCAAACAAAGAGAACCTTCTTTATTCATTTAGATAATTGGGGCCTTGCTGGACTCATGTAAATTTTAGGGCCTACCAAGTACTGACTACACTCTTATAATGATACCTCCAACTCATATCTTAGAAGCAAGCAAGAAATATGAGAATGCTTAAGGGGCTAGTATTCTTGTATTGAAATAAAATCAAGATTTTCTACAAAGTAATTCTTCAATAAAGAGGTACAAGAAGTGAATAAAAGCAGCATTTTGTTCACTCTAATGTTCATGTTGGTCTCCATGCCAAGGACGGTGTTCTATTAAGTCATACTGTGATGTTATCAGTGTCTCCTGATAACTCAGGCACCAGAGCCCCAAGGAGGGTTCACACTGGATCAACCTTCCCACCTTATATAGTGGATTATGTTGTAGTGAGAAGGAAAAAGTCACCATTGGTTAGTAACCTGGAATAAAAACTATAATAAATGAATTATTTAGATAGTACTAAGGGAAGAGATAGTAAAATATCTCCAGGAAACTATGAGAACGGGGGGAAAAGATAAAAAGATGACCCAAGGAACTCAAGACACTTAAATTTTAAATGTCCAGCCAAGATTTAGACATGTACAGGTAATTCCCCAAAGTCTTCAAAAAATACTAACAATTGAATTCACCCTTCTTCATTTGACTCAGGGCCTCAGCAATCACTGAGTGCCCTTCAGTATTGGAAATTGAAGTAACTAATGGCATTGCTTATATTGGAACTAGTGGCCCGGTGCACGAACTCGTGCACATTGAAAGGAAATTAATTAGAAGAAATATTTTAATATCACTACTCGCCCTTTCTCTATAATAGAAGTGTCAACCAAATTCACGATCAACAATGATAGAAACACATGCGTGCAATTGGCGCCAGCAAGAGCTTTATATGTATCACGCATGCGTGAGCCAACTTAGCCTTTTATAGATATAGAATAAACTTGCTTAATTAGACCTGCTTTCTGAT